GCAGAGACTTAACCTTGGGACAGTTTCCTTCTGAAACAAAGATATTTGCATGAAGTGATTCCCCAAAAGATTGTGGAGAAAAGGTTTTCTTGTCTCCCTTCGCCCATGAAAGCAAATGGGAGTCTGGATTGCTAAAATAGCAACTTAAAAGGGGTAAGTAAAACTGCAGAATGAAAAAGGAAAGCTATTTGCAGATCTCCAGCCCAAACAACAGTTTCAGTTCTATAAATTTTCAAGCCAGGATCCAAAGCTTCACTTTCCTTTTTAAACAAGGAAAGAGATACTTACTGTTTCCCCAATTTCCCTTTAATAGGAGCCATCTTCCAGCAAGAATGCTTTTGATTTATTCATTTATTCTATAGCTCACCTCATCCCCAAAAGTATTTTGGTATTTTGAGGTAACAAACAAAAATACATGCAATATTTGGGAGGGGTGGAAAAAAATCAAAGTCTTGGCCAAATGAGTGTCAAATAGGAAGATGAGCCAGAGAACATCAGTCAACAGCAACAAACAGCTGTTATAACGAACTTCCTGGTAGCCAACTCAATGAGGAAAATCAGTCTATTACCAGGCTCACAATGCCCATAAGAAAAAACATACATTAGTCGTTTAGGTGAAAAACAATTTTTTTTTCCTTAACATGATGTGAAAAATAAACTTTTCCTTTTAAGACACAGGTTCTCAGAAGTTGGCTAATGCAGCAACTAGCATTAATACCTGAGAGATCCCCACCCCACCCCTTTCCATCTCCTCCCTCTTGCAAGCACTCAGTTAAGTGCTGAATGAAGGACCGAGCACCAACGCCACTTCAGGCTTTCTGATTGGCAGGTGACATCCCCTAATCTCACTATTAAGTCAGGGTGCTACAACTTTTATTCCCTAGACCAGAGTATATTCCCTAGACCTGATTAACATTGTGTGTGGCTGCTCAGTTTAAGTCATGTCCAAGGCTTTGCGACCCCAGGGACTGTAGCCCACTAGGCTTCTCTGTCCATGGGATTTTCCAGGCAAGAATACTGGAATGGGTTGCCATTTCCTTCACCAGGGACCCAAGGGTCAAACCTGCGTCTCTTGCACTGGCAGGCAGGTGCTTTACCACTGAGCCACCAGGAAAGCCTGATATTGACATCTTAGACTGGATGATTCTTTGTTCAGGGTGGGCATGGGAAGCTGTCCTGTGAGTTGTCGTATGATGTTTAGCAGCACCTCTGGTCTCCATTCACGAAATGCCAGGAGCATCCCTCCCACAGGTGGGACAATCAAAAAGGCCTCCAGGTTAACTAATACAATACTGTAAATTAACTATACCTAAAAATTGTTACATGCCTGCTACTGCTGCTACTGTTAAGTCACTTCAGTCATGTCCGACTCTGTGAGACCCCATTCCTGGGATTCTCCAGGCAAGAACACTGGAGTGGGTTGCCATTTCCTTCTCCAATGCATAAAAGCAAAAAGTGAAAGTGAAAGTGAAGTTGCTCAGTCATGTCTGACTCTTTGCGACCCCATGGACTGCAGCCCACCAGGCTCCTCCGTCCATGGGATTTTCCAGGCAAGAGTACTGGAGTGGGGTGCCATTGCCTTCTCCTGTATTGCCAAATGTTGCCCAGTTGAGATCACTACCCTACACAAAGGATCCAAGAGGACAAATTATATATCCCTCTCTCCCAGCCATCCCCACACCACTTATCCAAAACACAATGAACAAAGAGGGGCAGGAAAACCACTATCAACATACCTGCTTGGAAAGAAAGGGAACCATACAAGAGTCATAAGTCTAGAGTGGTTCCAAAATCCTGCTAGGCAGACTTCAGGAAGCCTCCTGCTCTGGGTAAGAGGGAATAATGTCCTCTCAGAGCCATCAGGGCGTGTCCATTGTTCTCATGACCCCAGGGTCCGCCTTTGGGAGCCATGCACAACCTTTCTTAGAGTGAGTATTAGGGATTATGTTCTGCTGGACACTGTATCTTTTTCTTCGGGAAAAGACTGGAATCCCAAGAGTTGTTTTAAGCCTCATAGATTTTCTAGACCAGGCTAATGGTTTCTTTAGCATTGCATTTCACTCGGTAATATAACAGGTTTCTGATCTATTTCCACTGACCACAGCCAAAGCCCTTTTTAAGATATAGTTCTCAAATCTATCCTTTTCCTTTGCTTTCTCACCCCCTTGCTTCTCTCCGTCTTAAATTAATGGCAGCTATCTTGAGACTATATGGAAAAATCAATGAGAAATCTCCTCTTTTCATTTGATCCATCCCCCAAGTCATTTTTCCAACTGAGAAGTTTTACTGGACCTTAGCCACCTAAATCCTTATAGAATCGCATCTCTTATTGTGTGATATCTTAAGCAGTATGCAATCCAATTTCAAAGCCTCAAATTTCTGGACTCTCTCTTCTTAATTTCTGCTTGCAATCCACCTAAGAATGTCCTGAGCTCTGCTCATACTTACAATATCTTCTCAAATGCAGCCAGGCCACTGTCATTCTATTTTCCTACATCTTCCCTGGAAAGACAAGTACACTAAGCTCAGGATTCTCATTTTCAAGTCATCACAAGCAACAACTTTACAAATACCTTGCCACTGAATACCCTTACCTCCATCTTTCCAGTCTCCAATACACCTTCCCATTACCTGTCCCAATCACTAAGATATCATATATTCTATGTTTTTTTTATGGAGCACTTCACTTCTTATACCAATTTCTGCATTAAAATAATTAAAAGTAGCTGTCAAAACAGATAAATCCTACAATTTCAGTGGCTTAAAAGAATATAGGTTTATTTCTCATTCATTCAAAGCCCAATGAAGATAAGATGCCCTTTTCCATCTCAGAGCTACAGAAGAGGCAACTGCTTCAAGACCCAAAGTGATAAAAGATGAGATTTTTAAAAGGCATTGAATGATAAATCCCAGTAAAACCTAGGTAGAAAAATCAAATTAAAGGTGTGCGTCCCGCTCCCATCTCTCCTGTGGCCTTTGGTAAACCCAGTGGACACATGTTCTAACTATAAGACGGAAGAAGACCATTCAAAGTTAGGCTCACCAAGTGTTCCATAAACATCACCTCCCTGCAAGCTTCTTGTCCAGTACTAGCTCCTAAATGTCGAAAGGATCATCAACAAACTTGGGAGACCTTAATCAAGGGACCACCTTCAAGAGCCTGAGACTGTAGTGTGGGAGAAGCTACCGTAAACCGTATCTTTGTTCACAAATATCCGCAGCCCCTTCCTGACTGCAGAATTTTCCTCCTCACCTCACTGACAGAAGGCTCTAACTAATGCAACATGATTGAAGGTGAGATGTGTCAATTCCGGTAGAAGCTTTCAGGACCAGGGTATGGAGGCTTGTGTTCTCATTTTCTTCAACTAATACAATTGGCAATGCTTTATTTTTGTTGTTGTTGTTGTTGGCTTTGCTTTGTAAACCTTTTAAGGCATTCATTTTAAATCTGGGGGCGGGGAGGAGAGGGCAGTAAACTTGAACTTCCCTCTGAATAAATGACAAAAAAATGTTAGGTGTCCCATCTCCTCCCTCACCTCCACTGGCCAAATAAGTACCTGCTAGGAGGTCACTCACACTGCCTCTGGAACCTTGAAATAGATATCAAATTTTCAGGTTGTGTGATGGCCCAGGGTGGGCCCTAGACGCCTGGCAGATGGAGCATCACTGGGTCGGACAGCTCTGGCAGGTGTCGTGAAAAGGGTGCGGGAGTCCTGACTGCACTCGGGCGCCCGCAGGACGCGAGTGCTGCTCTGAGTTCACGGATGGAAAGCCGCCTACAACCTGTCCAGAAAGTCCTTGGGGGCTAGGACGCCCTCCTTCAGGCTTTACATTTGTGTTTGCACCGCAAGCTGGCTGGGGCGCCTGGCGGTGTCTGAGGGGTCTGCGGCCAGGGTGTGAGTGTCCGATGGAGTGCGGGGTAAGGCCTGGCCACCCTATGGACCTCAGGTCACTGGAGAAGCCAAAGGACTCATGACGGCCAGCAAAGCTTTCACGACCAACATGGGGTGGTGACCACCTGGGAGACCCTCAGGACATGACCCACTTCCTGTTCGTGGACAATGGATCTCCACCAGGTAGATGGGCTCCCGGAGCCGGGGCTGGCGGTCAGCACATGGTGTAGACTCAGTGCCCAACGCTGGGCGGGGGCCCATCCGAGGCCATCAGTGTGCTGCGTCACATCACAGGCATCAAAGCACGCACTCTGCAGTCCTCCCAGCCCAGCGCCCCCACCTTGGTGGACCAGCTGGCACTCAGAGAGACGCAAGGCTTGGCCAGCCAGGATCCCAGAATGAAGATGAACCCAAGCAGCGGTTTCAGCTCACAGTGAAGGTACAGCCTGAGCAAACGACAAAGATTCTTTCCTCAGCCACCTCTATTCAGGCTCCTATGAACTGTCTTCTCAAGCAGGCTCTGATTTTTGAGCTTCCATGTTCGTCTCTGCATTGCCCTGTTTTAACAAGAATCCCGCCAGGTCAATTCAGCTAGACTCCTCCAAACTCCAGGTCTGATGGCTCTCAACAGCTGATCAAGTCTTCATCCTCCACCACTTCCCAGGTGATGTGCAATTACCCTGGCCTGCCTTCAGTGAGAATCCTGTTAGATCTTATTAGCCAGAATCTCCTTACTCCTGATATTTCTTCTTAGCAGTTTTCCATCCACTGAGTTTTGTCTAAAAATTTCCACTTGCCTGTGCTATATGAAGAGCTGAATTCAGTCTCTGCAGGGCCTTGTGGTGGTTCTATAGCCATTGAAATACCACTTGCCCCCTTGAATGAAGTCTCCTTGCCATTCTCTAACAAGCATCAGGAATGATTTTTTCTTTACTACAAGGAATAAACATTTGTTCCTGAGAGCCCCTGAGATGTTGAGATTGTTTGTTACTGTAGCATAACTTAGCCTGTCCTGACTGGTTACACCAGGGGAGGAACTGCGGATGGTGGTCCTGAAGAAGAGAAGCTCTATGGGAACGTGGCAGTTGTCATCAACAGCCTGAAGGGTCAAGTGGAAAGGCAGCGCCGATTTGCTCGCGTGATGTTCCCAGACTTAAAGTCGCAGAGAGGTGGCTCATCCTGAGGGATGACGTTCTGGGAGTTAGTGCCAGGTGGCTGGTCTTTGGAGTTCCCTGGAGGGCTGTAAACAGGGGAGTGAGATGGGAGGACGGGAGATGGCATGAAGGCCTCTTCTGGGGCTGTGGTTACGGGGAAAGTCTGTGTCGTAGGTGACCTTTTCCCCCGGGCTTTCCACCTATCAGTGAGGAAAGCCCAGAGACTTAGGACTCCCCAGCACCTCAGGTAAGCCGAAGAATCCCTCTTCCCAGGAGGCCCACAGGGCCAGAACACAGTCCTTCTCAGGAAGTTTAAATGTTTTTTTTCTCCATGAAACACAGCTACCCACTGGGTATTTTCATCTCTGTCCTTTCTTAGTCTCTGTCCCCATCTCTCTGCCTCTCTGATTTCCTCTCTCATTGCCCTGGTTTCTATGCACCTTTGGATCTCCATGGTGTTATCTCTGTGTGTCTGAGTCTTTGGGTTTTTCCTTTATTTTTGTGTATTTCGGTCTCCACCTCAGTCTGTCTCTCTGCTTTAGTGTATCTTTTCTCCTCTTTCTCAGTCTTCACTCTGTCTCTCCCTCACATACACTGTGATGTTTATACTACTCAGATGTTTTTAGATGATCCCCATGAAACCAGTCCTTGGGCTTCTCTCTCACCAGAATTGGGACTAAAACCATCTACTTGTTCAGCCACACCTTCCGTCCCTTGATTCTTTTTTATCACTTCCTTTTCATCCCTAGAGTAGAGCTCCTGCCGCAACCAGATATTACTCATCTCTAGCCCCAAAGGCTGGAAAACTTGTGCTCAATCTCTCCCTTCTAAATTCCAAAATCATCTCTGGCCCTGGTTCCAGGGCAGTGCCTTGCCCTCCTTCGCTGCCTAAGCTCTCTGTCCAATTCCAGAAACATTCCCCAGAAAGCCCATGACAAGGGTGTGGCCACTGCGGACTTTCTTGGGTATGAAGGGTGGAGGTTTACAGGCTCTAAACAGAATGCCCCTGACCACGGACAGTCACCCTGACCTCAGGAACTGCCCGGCCTTCTACTGCAGCCTCATTCCTGCTCCTCCTCCACACTGCCCTCTGCATGTGTCTGATGGCTTCCTCCCATGCCTTGGCTCTGAGCCTGACCTCCACTGGCCACACCCTCTGTGCACGGCAGTGTGACGGGATGTCAGAAGCAGCAGAGGCACAGGCCTAGGAACTTGGGGCGGGGCCCAATTTAAACTTCAGCTCCAGCTCTACAACTCACTTTTTGGGTAATTCTGAGCAAGTTGCTCACCCCTCCATCAACTCTTTCTTACTCTTAAAAATTGGAGTCATGGTGCCTATCTGCCAATGTTGTGTGACAGTCAAGTAAGATCGTGCGTAGAAGTTCCTGATGCAGAGCTGATGGTGAAACATTTATTCCTGTTCTACATCTTCACCACCCAAACCCCAGCCCCCACCTTGTCTCCCCTGTCTGACCTACAGCTGGTAGACACCAAGACAGCAATATCGACAACTTGCTCTCAGAGTCTACTCTGATGGGTGAGCAGGTATGCAGTTTCGGTTGTTATTTACCTTGACTATCCCCACCCCATCATTACCACCACTCCTCTCCACTCTCCCCTGCCCTCTATGCAGGGAACCCACTTCAGAGACCAAGCTAGACCACCTCCCGTGTCTCTGATCTCCCCTGAACCCCATCCAGGCAGTGACAACCTGTCACTGCTTTGAGGTCGCAGTCACTGGGTGCTGACAACGAGGTGAAATGCGTGGTGGTCTCCCAGCGTTCAAGTAGCATCTCCAGTCTTCCCCGAACTCGGGAGACGTGGCGGTGAAAACGGCAGAATCTCTACCCTTGAGATGTTCACAGGCTGGTGGGCGGGAGAGCTCTGCAAATAAAACCAGGACAACACAGTGTGATCAGACTTCGGTGACTGAGGTGTAGACGGGACACGCCGAAAGGAGGGAGCTCTAACTCTGCCTGGGGCCGCCACTGTGAAGGCGGCTCGACAGCTGAGGCCTCTGCTCCTCTACGCCGAGATCCACTTAATGCAGTATTGCCCGAGGAGCCAATATTGCCCATGTTGAGAGAAAATAAGCCAAGGACAAAATACGATCAGTCTTCAACCTCAGATCTGGGTCAAATATGTATATCCAGCTTCTGGTTGAGTCTGGGTCACGGGGTTGGTGTCCGAGGAATCAGGGAATGCCCACACTCACAGCCAGGCTTCACAACATAGCCACATTCTTGGTTGAAACTAAGTAATACCAGAAAGGTCAGAGAAGAAAGAAAGACTTCAAGGAAACAGTCTAGTTGTTTGGCCAAGACAACTCAGATTCCATCTTCCCTGCTCCAAATTTGCTCCACACTTTCTTCACCCGAGCACTCTCCTCCCAACCAGAACATTTCATGTATCCAAAGAGGTCTCCTCTATTTTTTTTTTCTGTGATCAAATGGTCAACAAATACACAATCATAACTCCAGGTCATTTAAGGGAATATTGATTTTAAGGGAAGGCTTAACTATGGGACCAGGTTCAACCAGACTTTATTTTCTAGCAACATCAGTTGCTGGACCAGAATTAAGAACTAAGAAGAAATCAAAACATTCCTTTGTAAGACCAAAGCAGTCACTCTGAAATCTATGTGTTAAAGCTCATCCACATGATTTGTTGGAAAGTCTTTCAGGAACACACACAGCATCCACTGATTCTTATTTTTTGTCTGATTTTGGATCTCATAAAGACAGAATTGGAATTGTCATAATCCCTGGATCATGTTACACACATCATAGTCTATGCTTGGACTGCCTTTTAATTAGTCAGTTAATTAATTAGTGATAACACTGTAAATACCAATTAATCTATGACATAAAATGAAAGCCAGGACCTTGAGGGGTATCATATGAAGCCTCTCGCCACCACCCATTTACTGTTCCAGCTCAGAGTATTCCTCATCCTAAGTCCTGTGTTCATCATTGCTTTATTCTCCTTTATAATTAGCTGTATCATATGTATGTGTGTGTGTGTGTGCGCATGCACACACACACGCACATGCATTGTTTTTAACTTCATATAACCTTGCTACATATAACCTCTGGGAATTTACCTTTCCACTTAAAACATTTTGCTAAGCTTCATCCATATCAAGGTATGCTGTGTTGTTCCTTCATTTGGATGGCTATATAATGCCTTATTTGGTGACTTCAACACACTCTGTTCACCACCTTTCCTGGTGATACCCAGGTTTTTGCCTCCATGGTGACTGCTATGGCAGAGGTTCTCGTATGTATCTCCCGTTGAACATGTACAAGAGTTTCTCTTGGGCATGTGCTTAGGAGTAGACTAGTTGGCTCTAACCTGCCTGAGAATTATGATAAATCTAAAGGGCATAAAGACCTAAATGCAAGACTGTAAACCAGAAAACTCCTAGAGGAAAAATTGGCAGAACCCTCTTTGACATAAAATCAGAGGAATATTTTTTTTTAATCTGCCTCCTAAAGCAAATCTGTCTCCTAAAGGGGCTTCCCTAGTAACTCAGTCAGTAAAGAAATCTGCCTGCAGTGCAGGAGACCCAGGTTCAATTCCTGGGTCAGGAAGATCCCCTGGAGAAGGAAATGGCCACCTACCCCAGTATTCTTGCCTGGGGAATCCCATGAATAGAGGAGCCTGGCGGGCCAGAGTCCATGGGGTCGCAAGAGTCGGACACGACTTAGTGACTCAACCACCACCACCACCACCACCTAAAGCAAAGGAAATAAAAGGAAAAACAGATTAACGGGACCTAATTAGACTTAAATGTTTTGCACAGCAGAAGACCATCAATGAAATGAGAAAAAGTCTACTAAATGGGAGAAAATATTTGCAAATGATATGACTGATAAAGGGTTAATGTCCAAAATAAATAAATAGCTCATATGACTCCACATCAAAAACAGAAACAATTCAATGTAAAAACGGGCAGAAGTCCTGAATGAATTGAAGACCTCTTCTCCAAAGAGGACATGCAGATGGCCAACAGGCACGTGAAAAGATGCTCCACATCACTAATCATCAGGGCAATGCAATTCAAACTCACAGTGAGAGTGCTGCTTACCTGCCATAATGAGTGTCATCAAAAAGAACACAAATAACAAACGTCAGTGAGGATGTAGGGGAAAGATTGCAAATAGCCAAAACAATCTTAAGAAAGAAACACGGAGTTGGAGAAATCAGGCTCCCTGACTTCAAACTGCATTACAAGCTACACTAATCAAGAAATACAGCATTGGCATGAAAACAGAAACCGATGGAAATCAATGGGAAAGGACAGGAAATCCACAGATAAAGCACCTACGGGCATCTAAGCTATGACAAAGGAGATTGGAGTCCATTATGGAGAAAAGACAACGTCTTCAATAAATGGTGCTAGGGAAACCCGACAACTACATGCAAAACAATCAAATGGGAACACTTCCTAATCCTGTACACAAAAATAAATGCAAAATGGACTGAAGACCTAAAGATAAGACTGGACACTAGAAAATTCTTGGAGGAAAACATAGGCAGAGCACTCTTTGACATAAGTAGCAGCAAGTTCTTGATTCACCTCCTGGAGTAATGAAAAATAAAGACAAAAATAAACAAATGGGACCTAATTAAATGTAAAGGCTTTTGCAGACCAAAGTAAACCATCAACAAGATGAAAATGCAACTTTCAGAATGGGAGAAAATATTTGCAAATGAAGCAACTGATAAGGGACTAATCTTCAAAAGATCCAAAAATCACATACAGCTCACTATTAAAAAAAAATCCAATCAAAAAATAGGTGGAAAAAAATAGGTGGAAGACCTAAATATGCCAGTTGGTGCTCATTTAGACAAAGTTGAGTCCAACTCTTGTCACCCCATGAACTATAGCCTGCCAGGTTCCTCTGTCAATGGGATTCTCTAGCAAGAATACTGGAGTGGGTTGCCATTTCCTTTTCCAGACCTAAATATACATTTCTCCAAAGAAGACATACAGATGGTCAACAGGCACATGACAAGGTGCTCACTATCATTAATTATTGTGTCTGTGCTTAGTCACTCAGTCATGTCATTAATTATTAGAGAAATGCAAATCAAAACAATAATGAGGTATCATCTCACACTGGTCAGAATGGCCATTATCAAAAAATCTGTGAACAATCAATGCTCTAGAGGGTATGGAGGAAGGGACCCCTCTTCATTGTTGGTAGGAATGGAAATTGGCACAGCCACTATGGAGAACAGTATGGAGGTTCCCTAAAAAACTACAAATAGAACTACTCCTATCCAGCAGTCCCACTCCTGGGCACATGACCCAATGTTTATTGCAGCACTATTTATAATAGCCAGGACATGGAAGCAACCTAAATGTTCATCAACAGAGGAACAGATAAAGTAGATGTGGCACACATATACAATGTAATATTATTCAGCCATATAAAGGAACAAAAC